CAGCCCAAGAGTTTGGCCATTGTTAGATTATTAGAAGCACCATCAAATGTTAAACTTACAACACTAACACCTACTTCATAACATTTCTTTAAGCATTCTAATACCAGCCCCTTTTTCTGTTCACCTGTCATACTTGAAATTAAAAAATATCCTACTGGAATTTTCCAGCTTCCATTTACACAATTTAATAAGAAAACAAGAGCATTGTTTGCAAGCGTAGTTTCATTTGCACCCGTTCCTACATCTACACAACCATAACTTCTACGTTCGCTTCCAACAAACTCCTCATGTTGACGAATGGCCATTTCATCCATAATAAGTGCACACATTTTTTTTTCATTGGAAGAATTTGATTTAATCTGTAGGGCATTGAAAGCCTCACTTGTGAATCCAGGCTCACCTTTTATACTTTGATACCAACGACTGATTGTACGGACATGTGGTAAGCAAGTGTCAAATGTTCTTCTTAAATAATTATAAACAGCAGGTGAGTAATAGTGGAGAGTTAAGGAAAACACTTTTAGCTCTTCTGAATACTTCTTAGGCAATGGTAGGTTAGACTTTTTTTTTTAATTGCCTGCTACATATCTCGATGGGGCCCCCAAGTTTTGACATTATATCTAACTCATCTTCCTGTATCAAACATTTTTTACTTAAATCATTTAATATATTTTTTAAGTTGGCAATTTTATTCACTTTTCGAGAAAGTTGTCGTCTTAGCAATTTTAATTTTTGCTTTCTTTTTGCACTTGTTGCCCGGACAGAGGAGAGTATGTAATATTTTTTGTTTCTTTGGCGTCAGCGGTTCTTCATATGGAATATTTAGAGAAGAAGTAGAGGGTACAGGTAATTCGATCTGACTGGTTTGCTTTGCTGGTTTAATAAGAATATTTGATAGGATCCTGATTTTTGGAGGAGGAGGTGTAGGTATGGATGGGTTAGTCTGGAACAAGATTTGGTATGTTATAAAGCCTTAAATATAGATCCATGATACAAAAACTACTAGTTTAAGTTCCAAAACTACTAATTTTTAAATATCATTAACTTCGTAATATGTTTTAAATTATATTTATTGTGTATTGTGAACAAAGTCGGCAGGTTTTTAAATTAAGGAACATCAATTTAATGTTTGTTCATTTAATATTAATAATAATTGTAATGTGGTACATGAGCGGGCATATTATTTTATATCATGAGGATGAGGAGGTACATAGCAGTGAGTGATGGCCACAAATCTAATTAAATAATAAAAATACATCACCAGTATTTATTATTATACAGTATATTCATGATCAAAACGGTATAATAATAGCAAATTAGGATCTAATAAAAACTGCTTTTAAATACTTGAAATTTTATTCTAAATTATGTGTTACTTAAAAAGTTAGTCATTTAAGTGTAATTATAAGTTGGTTTTTAAGTTCAATTATAAGTTGGTTTTTAAGTTTAATTATAGTTGGTTTTTAAGTTTCTAAGTACACTCCTTATACTTACTAATGAAAAATTAAATTAGATATTTTCTTACGCTCTTTCACTGAAGAGTTTTTACAATTAATTTTGGCACACTTAGTCATGATTTTTATACAAATTAATCAAAAAAAAAAACACTTATTAAGATAGAAATAACGTCGAAATATTTAAATTTGAACAAAGTTCTGACAGCTCTTTGACAACTATGACATGACCACTAAGAGAGGGAGAAGGGGTGTCGTTTTTTTTTGGCATGTCTTCTCCATAGTATTCAACCTCATTGATCCATAGAGAGCAATGTAATTTACAAAGGCCTTCTTTCAACGTACAAATAAATGACAACTTTATAATTAAAATGAAAAACAACAAAATACCTTGGTATTATAAATGATCCAAATTTAAAATGGGCATTATATCCTACCTCTCTGTTATATAATAAAAAAGTGCTTTGTATAAGAACATTATATTATCTGTCTTGCTGTACTTTTATTTATGGAAAGCCTGAATTGAGATATTTATTATTTGCAATAAATATCAAAAGAAGTATACATTTTTAAATAATTTGACATTTAAGAGCCATTCACATATCACAGTCACATACTTTGATTTTCTTTTACTATACGGAGAATGATCGCACTGCGCAGCTTTCTGAGTGCCTTTTAAAAGGAGATAGAAAACTCCGCCATTTTGATATACGTGTTGCCTACATTTTGGCGCAATATTTTTAATAGGTGCGTTTTAATCATCCGCTTGTGCTTCGGAATTGTCGGTTTTCTTGTTTTAATCTGACAGGTTAAAACGACACCGACAATTCAGGAAGCAGAAGCGGATGATTAAAACGCACCTGCTATTTTGTTTGCTGCTGTCAGTGTCAGTAAATATTACTTTTGGAGTTACAGTTTATTGCTAAAGAATCAGTTAGCTCACTCGGACCAGTTGAAAGTGCCAAAATAACATCCACTCCAGGGATACAAATTCAGGATACGCAGAAGACTGCTGTTTTATTGTAGGCGGTTGTCATATATTGTATTATCCGAGTTGCGCAGTGTATAAACTGGAACATTGAGATCAAAAGTGCTGACGCAGAGTGAGCGACCTGATTCTTTAGCTATAAACTGTGGCATAGGAATCAAAATGGCCGCGTCCTATTTTGGGCGTGTCGGACCTCTCTCTTGCACCGTATAATCACAGTTGACATCTTGATACTTGACAGGCACAGCCAAGCATTATTTTGGTTTTTGCCAAATAAAATGGCCGGTGAATTATTCTATGGGGTTGCGACCACTGATCTGTATTATTTTAGTGGATAGGATATAGGCTATATTTGACATACTAAAAATCCGTTCCACCAAGGAGACTGGAAGTGCAACACTGCTGGCCGATTTGGGAAAATTATGGCGGGATAATTTGACATATCTAACCTATAATTTGATTAGTTCTTCTTCTTCTTATTCTTTTATTCATTTCGCGGACAATGTCCTTTGGGACAATTCACCCATAATTTGATTTTTATGAAAGAAAATATAAAAATGGAAATGTAAAGCAAATTGTGTCTTCATGAATGAACGTTTATTGTTTATATCATAGTAATGCTATCCGATACTATCTACATAAAGAGCAGATAAATGATCAGTTCCAAAGTACCTATAGTGGAAATGAAAACTCTTAAAACTGCAGTAGGGATTTTTTTTAACTTATGTAGACTACAACTAAAAGGAGATATTTGTAATAGAAATAACAGCCTCGAGCTAGAACTACATAGATGGTCGAATCACTTTAGGGAACAAGTATGAAACGAGAATCGGTGAGTTTGCCATTGTTATAATGGAACCAGGAAGAACAGGGATATAAATATGCTTAAAAGATTTAGAAGATCTAAACAATTCCTGTGAAAATGTTTACTTGATTGAACAATATGGATACATGCAACTAAAGCGATTAGAATTATATCTGATCTAGTGGTTTTTTCATACACATGATTTACATTAAGAGTTACAAGGTAGGTAGTTTATAATTGCAAAGTTAATTGTAACAATATAGATGTTGAAATATATTTTAAATTACCTACACTTGTCTAAGAAAGCTAACAAAATTTACTAATTATTAGTTATTACCACTGTTAGAAATTTTAATTAACATTTCTAACTTTTCCAGGTTAATACGTGGTATTTTTGTTGCCTCTCTCACATTTTTTCACTATAACAACCACACTGAAATTTGTGCAACTCATAAATATATGTATTCAAAAATTATTCTAGGAAAATACTGTTATAATTTAAATTTTGTGTAGACTATTCGAATGTAATTTACAATTAAATAAAGATCAAATTTAAAGGCTCTACTTAATTTTTACAATTATGCAAATATTGATTTATATATATTTTAAATGAAATAGAGAAAATCATGGGAAAAGGTGAAAAAACATTTGTATTTGTAATATTTTTATTAATGTAAAAAGGATATAAAGTAATATTTTTAAATGCATTATCAACAGTCTTCGTTTGTGTTTTATCAATGCAGAATAGCTCAAAATATTCTTAACATAATCGCATTCCTGCACTTAACAACAGTAAAATTGTTCATATCCATACTATTCACCCATTTCCCCAAAAGCTCCACTTCTATAGGAAACCTAAAATAACAAGAACATTATTTAATTTAGTAATAATCATTATAATTCACTTCAGTTTTTTCATATAATCGAAAAATGTTAATTGTATTCTTGTATGCTTGTATAATAATGTGTAAATTAGTAATTGTTTTGACAAAATAGTTTAATCTGTTAACAAATTATTATAAATATAATAGTTTTATTTACCTATGAAGAGTATTTCGTTTTCTACAATAAAAACACGTCTTCATCGTAACTTTTTAACACAATTAAATGACAAATGTGATGACAAAATGAAAATAGAGGTTATGTTAAATAACATCCGGTCCGCCATATTATTTGCCCAAATCGGCCAATTTTTTGGAACGTTTTTTAGGGGGCTATATCTTATCCAGTAAAATAATACAGATCAGCGGTTGCGACAGAGAAATTTGATGAAGGTGTTTTTGTGGCTAGGGGCGAAAAAGTAGTACGCTTAATAGCACCACCATAAAAAGTCATTTTTAAGAAACTGCTTGTATATTTTTCATAAATTGGCAGGCTTGGCGACTAATTTCGAATGAAAATATTTTTTTTTGATTTTCGGATTCAGAATGATCAGAAACATGAAAAAAAGTTTTAAAAAATGGGGGTCAGAAAATTTTTTCGTCTGCACGAATGTAATACTGAGGCCCCATAGGAAGGGCCTCAGTAAAAACCTAAAAAACATAAAAAAGATAAAAACAAATAGGCTTCTCATTTAGCTTAATTTTTGATACACAAGTCCAGGCCCAAATTTAGATTTTTTATTATTATATATCTTATTTTTGAGTTTTTCGATAAAAAATATTTGAAAGATGTTTATTTTAACGACTTTGATACACAGTCAAAAAAGTATCAATTTAGGATTCATCCTGTATATTTTTTTTATTTGCCATAGGTTCTGCAGCTATTTTTGCCAATAGCAATGTAGACCTCCAAAACGCAACCTTAAATGACGAACTGTTAAAAGTGGAAGGAGATGACATAAAAATAGAGGCAGCAGGTGAAGACGTTACAAGGAGTTTTCCTGATATTAAGAGTGAACTTTCCGAAAAGGGTTTACCACCTGAAAATATCGTCGAAGAGTCGTTGAAGAGATCCGAGTCTGAACCTAATTTAAATAAAACAGAGAGTGAGAGTTGAGTACTAAATGACTTATTTTTATACATTTGAGCCAAAGTAAATACATAACATTATTTATTTTTATTTCTTTGTTTTCTTTATTATTATTTTTGACCTTAAAACAGCATTAGATAAACCCACAAGTAAGAATTAAATAATACAACTTTGTGGAAAATAAAAGTGAAGTGTAAATAGGCAAATTTCGATGGGATTTCTAGTAGCAAAGTCGCAAAATTGTAGAAGCCAAAGATGTTGGTTGGCTTATTGCATCTGTAATAATAGTTGTTCAGTAATGAAAGTATCGGTGCTGACCCACTAAAATCTTGTTGTCATTTCGGCTTGTTGGTAGGGAACTGTTAGGTTAAGATACTTATTTTGGGTAACTATCCGGGAAGGATCGAATACCTGTATCTATCTGTGCACAAGGTTAGACTATGCATGGTAACTGGGATCCATACCGGGCATTGCCAACTCAAAGGACATCTTAGTATACTTGGACTAGTAACATATAGTGACTGCAGAGTTTGTGCGGAAGAGTACCCCAGTAAACACAGTTCTATGTTCCGTCAAAATGTCAGCAACACACTGACTAATAAATTACGTAACTTTCACTATCACTAGTTAACCTCCCTTCCCCATACTCCTTTGATATTTCTTTAAATTTGAAATTTTATTAGTTACCCCTCAATTTTGTTTTACTTTAATTTCTTTACTTACTGTACTTGGCCTTTCTCCTCTAGTAGTAATCGTCTAATTTATTAATTGATAATTATATACTCACGTTGTGATAATGTTAATTAAAATAAACTAGGATTCGATGCAAAGTTTGGTGCAAATTGGTAAATAAAACATTACAAAATTTATATGTTAACCCTTTTATTTTTCATGCTTTAAAATGTAACGTAATCATTTGCAAAGTATATTACAATAGGTACTTTTTACCGAGATCTCACTTGAGTCCCGCTCAAGGATGGACCACGTTCATTGGCTATCAAGATATATTTTATTTAGCTTGATTCTATCCTAGATATACACAGGATTGTTTTTTCTTAGGTATTTATTTCGACAAGTATAGAGGTGATGACCAAGGGAGTTAACGGATATCGCCAATTCGCCAGTTGGTTAACTTACTGTGTTAATGTTCACATATACTTTATGGTTCAAACCTAGTAGAATGGGTGGCTAGTAAAAGGTGCCCCCCTTGAGCTAATGAACAGTGTCAATTCACCAGTTGGATTAACTATTAAAGTAGGGCGGCGGGACGTAGCGTCGGAACGTGAAAGCGCTGGAGAGGTAGGTCGTCGGAACGCAGAACGGCGTCGATTAGGAAGAGCGTCGGTTTAGAAAAGGTACTGAATACTGAACTTGAAATATAACTAAATTTAAAAAGCAACTGAATTAGACTTGATTTAAAATAATATAATCTTGCGTTCCCGGAGTTGGGTATTTATACACGTTTTAATGAGTTATGGTGACGTACATTTCTGGTAACTTCGGTGGAAAAGAATTTGGGTGGATAAAAAAAGAGTGGTAGATTTATTACGTGCCTCGAGAAATTCTCGGAATTTTGTATCGATATGATGGCGAAATTGGTGATAATACTTGAACTTACTTAAGATAAGCTCGTTAACTGTTTTAATGATTATTACTTCGTGAAAAAAATTAGTTCTATGAATGAAGGTTTCTGGGTCGAATTCTCATGGGATAACTTTTTATCTTTTCTGGTTATTGGGCTTGTACATATTAGAGACCCCGCGAACAGGAATATTGCTTTTGTTTATTATGCATAGATAAGATTTAATTATCTAAAAGACTATGAAGGAATTTGAATTAATAAATTATGAAGGTACTTGCTCAGCTAACACTAACACGGCGGAAACTTGTCAGCTGCTGATTAAAATTATGTTACAAAAATACGGCAATTTAACATTGCATAATAAGCAGTTTACGTTTAGGGCCTTATTTACAATCATTGGCACTTTTTTACTGCTTATTAAGTGGAAATTAATGTTATTTCAATTAAGCGCTTCTTAAGCTCATTTTTTCGGTATCAAGAACTTTCCCCGACAACAATTTCACGACGGAATATTCCCCGACATCAATTCCCCGATAGAAAAATTCCCCGACTGGAATATTCCCAGACGGGAAAATTCCCCGACAAACAATTCACCGACTGGAAAATTTTCCGACTGGAAAATTCCCCGATAATAATTTCACCACAAAAAATTATTCTCTTGAAAAATACTAAATAATGGAAAACCAACATTTTTCAACCAAAGATCAAACACATTCTCGACAATAATAGACTTGACGCTATGTCCCCTGTCAAATCCCACGTTTCACTTGGGACTCTCTGGATGGCCTACATTCTAGCGATCATTTACCAATTGTTCTTTGCACGAATATCGCGCCCAACCATCAACGGTTCGCTAAAAACTGGCTGATTAATAAAGCGAACTGGGATGAGTTTACTAAACGTAGAATACTACCAAATCCAGGCTCGTCTGAATGTATTGATGATATGGTAAAAACAACTACCGATTCAATCCTTCGAGTAGCAGAAACTACTATACCGACATCAAAATCTGATAGATCATCTAAAATGGTACCATGGTGGAATGAGGAGATAAGGGAATCTAAATCATCAAGAAAAAGAGTACTTGATGAATTTCGGAGATCGTCCAAGACTTATATGATTAAGAGCGCATGCTCGGAGAATAATCAACGAGGCGAAAAAGAAATCTTGGAAAGAATTACGTATCCTCATTAACAATAGATACTAAAATATCTGAGTTATGGAAGAAAATAAAAACAATATCGGGAAAAAATGTGTATACTAACCCCAGAGCAATCCAAAATAATGATGAAATTTTGACGAACAGCCAGAAAATTAGTGAAGCTTTGCAAATCATTTTGAATAGGTCAGCAAAACCAGCAATTAATCCTGAATTTCAGGAAGTAAAAAGCAGAGAAGAACAATTCAGTTTAAGCTTTGACACAAGAGCTGATCAAATATATAATACTGCTTTCACTTATGACGAACAGGAATATGCTTTCGGAACCTGCATAGAAAGTGCTGCTGGTTATGACGGAATAATGTACGGAATGATACGACACCTAACTACCCAGACAACACACCAAATCCCAGAGATATCCACAGAATATCTTTTGTGGATATCCAATATATCTACAGGATATCAGAATTATCCCGTGGATCTAATATGGATATCCAAATGTCCGTCTATATCCCAGGATATAGAAGATTCAGCAAAATATTTTATGGGTATCTTTAGTAGAGGTTTAAGTAACCAATGATTATTGAATAACGTCGAAAGAAAATAGAGATAAAAATATTTTCAACACTCTGTCTTTGATTTTGCCCTCTAAGGAGAAAGTCATCCTTATTAGGACTCTTCAGCAATAAATGGAAATTATCGACTCCAGTCTCTAATGGAGTCTGATTGGGATAAAAATTTCGATCGAACTCAATTACGGTGGGTTGAGCATGAGCACGAGCGAAAGTGCTATACTTAGTAAGCAAAATCAAAAATTACATCTAGTGTATATGCACCATGGTTTGCGTTCGCGCCTAGACTTTGATATATTTAGTGGATGTCCATGGGATATTGAATACACCTTAAAAAAATTAATTTTAAATATCTGAACGGTACTATTAGCCACAATGGCGAGCACAATGGCGTAATTTTTTAATAATTTGCTATATAATTACTATTATTAATGGACATTTGCATGTCTATAAATTACATTTCATGGATATAAAATAGATATCCACCAAGGACTGGACATTCAGTGGATATTGGGATGTCAAGTAGATATCCAAAGGATTTGGTGTGCTGTCTGGGTAAAGACTGTAAAGAGATGCCATTAAAAATGTATAATTAAATGTGGCCATCGGGAACATTTCCATATAATTGGAAAACTGCCATAATAATACCTATCTTTAAAAATAAAAGTTCTATCGTAGACCGAACAAATTATCGACTGATCTCCTTGACTTCTTGTCTGGCAAGATATTCGAAAAAATGGCCAACAAAAGACTTGGGAATTGGAATCAAAAATGTACTAGAAAACGTACAAGTGGGATGCCGTCGCAATCACTCGACCATTGATGTCCTCGTTGTCATGGTGTCAAATTTTCATAATTCATTCTTCAATCGTCAACACTTGGTCGCCATTATGTTTTACTTGGAGAAAGCATACGACATGACTTGGAGATATGCAATGAAACAGCTTCATACTTGGGGGATTACGAGGAAACTTTCCGAAAGTACTCTCAATCTTCCTTTCTGATAGATATTTTTGTGTAAGGGTCGGTGATCACCATTCTTCAATAAGACCGCTAGGCAACGGAATATCTCAAGGATCCGTCCTAAGTGTTACGCTGTTTTCCATTGCCATCAACTGCCTCGTCTGTAAAGTTTCAGAAAATGATAAAGCAATATTATATTGTCAATGACCTCACAATCTACACTCGTCACCAGGTTTTGGGAGAAATAAAATACACGTTGCAGAACGAAATTCACAGACTGGAAGATACGGTAAGATCGCAAGGCTTTAAATTTTCTCCATCCAAGTCACATGCCGTTTATTTTTGCAGATTAAGGTCCGCACATGCAGAGCCAAAACTGTACCTACAAGACCAAGAAATATCGATTAAAGAACAATCTGAACTATTAGGGCACATATTAGACAAAAAATTAAATTGAAATGCCAATATAGAATATCTAACAAATAAATATAGGAAGATTTACATCTTGATTAAATGCATGGCAAGTATCCGCTGGAGCTTAGAGAGAGATACTATTGTGCATGTATAAAATTCTAATGCAATCTAAAATAGATTATGGAAGCGTCAATGATGGCTCGGCCAGACCTTCAAAATTAAAGGCGCTCAACAAAATCCAAAATGTGGCTGTTCGACTTGCTACTAGAGCCTTCAGAACAAGTCCCATAGAGTCCATATTGTGTGAGTCCTCAACATTCCCTTTAAAACTTTGTCACAATATGCAAACCACGATTTACGGAACAAAAATACATAGTGAATATTTTTTCATGAGAGGTGTTTTTACTATGACCTTCTTTCATGGGCTTATAACTTTTAGTAATTAAGGCTTTCAAAAACAAATACTAGGAAATGCAAAAATTTCAAAACAGATGTTGAATTTCAGTGGTGTCGTTTTTATCTGAATTGTATTGTCTAAAAAATTAGGGGGGTCAAAGGGGTGCAGAACCCTTCTAGAAACCTATAGAATTAAAATAATTTCGAACGCCTCTGACTCCATTTTATTGGTCACTGTAGACTAAGATCTCATGTACATTTTCTTAAAATTTTGGTACCCCGTTTTAGAGCAAGAGCAAAAAATAACTTAAAATAACTAAAATTTCTACTTTAACACCTGCAACTTTTTTACTATCCATTTTTTATATGATCAAGTTAACTTATTTTCGATCCCAGACACTGAGGTTAATTTTACTGTATAGCTTTTGTTACACCCTGTATACTAGGGTGATTCAGTTCCGAAAAATTTTGTTTTTTTTGGTGCTCAAGCAAAATATTAATCTACATATAGAAAAAGAAATTCTCACCAAGTTTGAGCTCTTAATATCAATTTTAAGTACTTACTATTTAAATTTAAAGTTTTACCATATAAAATGCATGTAAAAAAAATATATTTTTTTTTAAATTTCTAATGTTGACCCATCTTTTACAATATTGCAAATCGGTTTGATGGCCCTTGTGGGAAATTTCATGCTTTTCGAAATTATATTCATTATGCGTAAGAAATCATAATAATTCTAAAAAAGTTCTTAGTGTAGGGAAATATAATGGTAATCAATAGAAAAAAATAATCTAAATAACATTATGAGTTAGTATTTATCAATTTCTTACGTTTTCAGGTATAAAAATGGCTGTAAATTCATAAAATATTGGTCGGATAACTTTTTTTTATGAGTCAGCGCTTTTTTTCTCCCTACTTTTGGCGGTTTGCTCGAAAAAATTTAAAAAAAGGTTTTTTTTTTTTTGAAAAACTGTACTCTGACGACTCCTACTGGTAAACCAGTGCGAGTTACAAAAAAAGACACTGAAGCATTTTCGAAGAGCCATGAAATTCCCTACAAGGTCCATCAAACCGATTTGCATTATTGTAAAAGGTGGATAAGTATTAGAAATTTAAAAAATAAAAATTTTTTTTACATGCATTTTAAATGGCAAAACTTTAAATTTAAATAGTAAGTACTTAAAATTAATATTAGGAGCTCAAACTTGGTGAGATTTTTGTTTTTTTATATGTAGATTAATATTTTGCTTGAGCACCGAAAAAAAAAAAAAACTTTGCGGAAATGAATCACCCTACAGTGTATACCTCTAACCACCTTATTGAGACTAAAGCCCCCACGGGCAAACTCGTGGCTTAAAAGAAACGAGATTCTAAACGAAAGACCGAAAGCCGACTAGAAGTAATGATAAGTAATTTTCAGGTAAGGTCCACTCGGTCCACTTTTACTTAAATTTAAAACAATTATTTTCATTTATCTACTATTTCATCTAATTAAAACGCACTCCGTTAAAAACGATTTAAAAAAACTTTTTCTAATTTTGGCATATAAAGTGAAATTTTTTATAATCTCAGCAAGTCTCAAAATGATCTACTTTACGCAATCAGTTGAATAATGTTGAATATTATGAAACTGATCGTTTTGAAAAATTCATTACGTCACCAGTTGCGAGAAGAAAAATAAACCTATTTTGCTTTTAAAATCAATATTATACATTTCTAAAGTTTATATCAAAAAAGAGCAGGTTGACTTATAAAAATAGAATTCGGTTATACTTACAACCTAGTAATAATGTTGTTTTGGTCCTTATTTTTTAGTCCAAATCAGCACATAATAATTAAAACCCAAGAAACGACAAAATAACCCACTTTTTGAAAACTAAATGCCTTTAATAAACAATATAAACACACTACAAGTCGTTGATAATAAATAATTAAGAAGTATGTTCTAATAGTGGTTCTAATTGTCAATAAAATGATGCATATGTAACTAACAATACAAGAAAGTAACATTGGTTGCTTAAATGCCAGTAATGTCTAACCAAAACAACATTTTAGTCAAAATAAAAAAAAAAATTGTATGTAACACGTTACGAAATGTTTTATGTAACTCGTTCATGTTGCAGGACCTCGCTCTGCTCGACCCGCAAATATTCACTCGTTACATAAAATAAGGTATTTCGCAACTAGTTTCATATTCACTCATTTATTTGACGTTTAAGAATTTACAGACGACCAGACAAAAAAATTTTTTTGTATTTTCGGATTTAGAGTTATCGAAATCATGGAAAAAATTTATGAAATTTGTCCTACAAAAATGTTCTTATCAATAGTGTCAGATAAGCAGAAGATGTATCTACTCTTAAACCTGTTAGAATGAGCACAGAATATGTTTTCAAGTATTCGTGAAATATAAAGATTTATTTTACATATAGGTCTTTTCTTTTGCATCGAAAGTGTAGTACTGATCTACACCACTTCTGAAAATATCGTTCATTTATAAAAATTGTATGGATGGAACGATATTTTCAGAAGTGGCTTAGCTCAGTGCCACACTTTGGATGCAAAGGAAAAGACCTAATATAACTTACAACCTGTTCTTACGACCGCTTACAAAATATTTAGTCAGATAATCCAACACAATATTCTTCAGCTCATTTATTCCTGTAAATAAAATTTAAATTTATTTACCTTTTAAATGGTTTTGTGTATAACCATGTATAATATACGAAACCAGAAACCACCAATGAATAAGTTTGCGATAAAGTTAATCAACTACGTGAATCATTTTCCTGTTTTAAAAATATAACTTTTTTTAACATTATTATTATTTAAGTTTGATGTAAAAGTTTATAATATTAAAGAAAAATTCGAAATTTGTAAATATTTTATAGGATTATGTATAATATTGTGATAGGATTATTTTACTTTTGGTGTAGTGTTCGTGGATTAAATTTTGATTCTAAAAGTTTGATAGAAGTTGAATTAAATCAAAGTGATATTGTTGAAAGGTCTTATTTTGGGTATACACTGCTTTTACAACAAGGACCTAATCCGCAGTAAGTTTTGAATATATACTATTTATTCTGCGATATATCTTTAAGTAATAACAATTACTTCAATGTGTCAACATAATTATTTAATAAAAAGAAAATAGAAAAGTTGCATGTATAAAAAGTAATAACTTCATTTTAAATTTAACTAATCAAAATTGAAAACTATCTAGTGGTAGCTAGTCCAGGTGATCATTGGACCCAAAACTAGGAGAATTTAGGGGTTTACGCTGTAATGTTTTAGTTAATTTTAACCGACAGGTTAAAAGATTATTTAAAACTATGCCATTTAAATTTGAACCTAAACTTCTACTCGATATTCTATCAGATTAACTTTTTGTTATTATTTATTAGCTATTTTATAACCAGTCCTAGTTAAAATCGACAATTGTGAACCTGTACATTCATGTTATGTTTACGTTCATGTTTATTTTATGTACAGCAAGTTTTTTTTAAAACTAATAAACTTTCACTATAAAATAATAAATCGATTTAGGGAAAAATCGGTTTTTGGAAATTTGTCGCTTTACGCAGTCACTTGCCTCTGTCTCCTGTCGCGGTCTCGCATTCCAAAATGACACCTTAATACAAAATGTATTTATTGAAAAAATTTCAATTTAAAAATCAGAAACCAAGCCAAATAAGTTAGTAACACACAATTGCGTGATAATAAGTCGCAATTGTGAGATAATAAGTCACAATTACGAGATAATATTATTTTTTATATATAAAAAAGTGGCCCCAGGAAGCTTTCGTAAATTTCGTAATTATAATGTTAAAGAATTAAAATTATGTATTTCATAATTTTAATACACATATTTTCATTATGAAAAACATAATAGAAATTGCCGATTTAAAATTATGAAATACATAATAGAAATTCATAATTGTAAGTAACCCTTAATATATAATGGTTATTGAATTTCTCTCATGTATTTCATAATTTTAATTCTTGAATTTTTAATTATGTATTTCATAATTTTAATTATTGAATTTCTATTATGTTTTTCATAATGGGAATACGTTTATTATTATTATTATGAAAAATATAATAGAAATACATAATTGAAATTCAAGAATTAAAATTATGAAATGAAGAGTTACCTACAATTATTGATTTCTATTATGTATTTCATAATTTTAATTAGTGAATTTCTATTATGTATTTCATAATTTTAAATCGGCAATTTCTTTTATGTTTTTTATATTGGAAATACGTGTACTAAAATTATGAATAATTACGGAATTAAAATTTTGGAAGGAAAGATTATTTTTTCTTGCTTTTTAAACGATATTAAAAAATACCAAAACGGCACGCCATATAAGTTAAAATTAAGCCCAAAGCAACATTAAAAATAGGAAAATTTTTATAAGCCAAGGTTAATTTTAACAAAATTTTACAGTCTGGTACTCTGGTTCTTCTACTCGGTATTCTATCAGGTTTAGTTTTTGTTATTAGTTAAATAGGACAAGAGAGATACAGCCTCATTTTATTGTACTTTACTGATAACATTTTTGAATATTTTGTTCCTTCTTTTGATTTCAATTCGAGTAGCATTTGCTGTATCATAATATGTTACCCTTCATTATTTTCTTAACCCTTTTGAATCATTTTGTTAATTTTTATTAAAATATTTATTATAAAGAGTGTCTCATTAAGAATAGGGCACAGAACAACTGAAGATTCTCTGGTTGAAAATAAGACGATTAAACGAGATGTGCCCTCATAAAAATATTACTGGTTTTCAAAAAGTTGAACATAAAAAAATATTAATGTCTATAATTTTTTTATTTCTCAGTATAATTTTACTACATTCGATAAACATTGTTGGTGTCATAAGATACACCTATATCAACAAAACAATCAGTTAAATAAACTGTAGTGTTTTATGCAAGCATATTTCATTTAATCGTCTTATTTTTAATCAGATAATCTTCAGTTGTTCTGTGTCCCATTCTTAATGAGACACCCTGTATGTAGGCCTTATTATTATGCGCTTTACATAGAGCTAATTTTCTGGCTTTATTTAAAAAATTTCATTGCGAAATATTTTACTATTTCTATTTTTATTATGTGAATAATGCTGTGGTTACTTCCAGGACGGTTATCTACCGAAAAAATATTGTACCGGAAATTTTGACTTAGTGGGTTACATAATACTAGATAAAACATGATTAAATATGCCCAATTGTGTACTTGAATATTCAATTTGGTTCTAAACTATTTTAATAATGAAGCGACATTTTAAAAACATTTTAATTTCCTGCATTGAATAATTATATAAATTATAATTATAATTATAATTATAATTATAATTATAATTATAATTATAATTATAATTATAATTATAATTATAATTATAATTATAATTATAATATAGGTAATATTGAAATCCATCATTGATCACTATTAAATATTCTGTAAATGCTGGATCACAAATAAAGGCAAAGGGGAGGATGCCATACCCAACCACCGTCATTAGCTATAATTAAATTTATTTATTTCAAAGTTACAAATTATGTTATGTTATGTTGAGAATGGGATGTTAATACACTGCGACCTAAAAGATCTATTGTGCAATGCACTAAGGAAATGTCTCAATGCCTATAACGACCCTTCCAATTCTATTTTCTCAAGGAAGTGTAGGATTTGAAGTGGCTTCAAGTTAGGTAAATCTCCCTCTTCTATTTGATATCCTCCTAGATATAGTGCCCTTGGATTCTGGAGTGCTACACATTCAGTTAGGATGTGAATGGAAGTTTAGTCCTCCTTAGGTGTCTTTTTAGTCGGCAATGCCCGGTAAGGATCCCTGTTACAATACGTAGCCTGTTCTTGCTCAGGCAGATGCAGGCTTCCGATCTTTTCTGGTTATATTCACCCAGAAGTATCTTGGCCTGTCTTAGCCCCAAGAGATTGTTCCAATTATCGGTTCTTCTACTTCCCAATTCTTTTTTAATCTCTCCTAATATTATGTTACGGCTGATACCGCAGAACGGCTCAGGTCCTACAAAGGGTGTTTGAGCCCCTTTCCTTGCAAGACTATCTGCAATCTCGTTACCCTGTACTCTATTTTTCTCGCCTAGCTCATTCAATTGTTCTAGGCATCTCCAGACCATTTTTGAACTGATTACGTAAGAGCTCAGCGCTTTGATGGCTGCTTGACTATCGGACATGATGATAATCTCTTGTCTATGATAGTTTCTCTCGATGTTAAACTGAATACACTTCTCTATGGCGTAAATTTCCGCCTGGAAGATGCTTGGGTATTTTCCCAAGCTTTCGGAGTGCTTGGTTCTCGGCCCATACACTCCTATTCCAGTTCCTTCTATGGTTTTGGAACCGTCCGTATACCACTGAATAGCACGTCTTTCGGTTGCAAGCGCGATAGATTATTGGATCCATTCTTTCTTGCAGCCCAGCTCTGTGGTTTTGAAGTTTTTCACAAAACTGTACTTCTTTAGCATTTCATCCTGGGGCATGTCCCAGGTATCTTTAGTCCTGAAGCAAGTAGACTTTCGTCTGATTACTCCATTCCTGATCATTCTATATCGTGTCCTTTTTGCTACATTCTTTATCATCAAATGTAGAGGGGTGAAGTTTAAGATCACCTCCATTGCAGCCATAGGACAGGTTCTCATTGCACCAGTAATGCAAAAACAGGCTAGTTTTTGTACTTTTAAGATATTAGCTCTCGTAGTAGCTAAACTAGTTCTGTTACTCCAGCCACGTAAGTGATGATTGGTTTCACTATTGCAGTATACATCCATCGCAGTATGTTTAGGTTACATCCGTATCGTTTACCTGCAATGTTTCTGCATACCATTAGGGCTTTTGTGGCATTAGTTACTACTTCCTTCTCATATGTGTTCCAGAGAAGTTTGTTGTCCAGGGTTAGGCCTAGATATTTGACTTCATTCTTCCATTCTATATCTATCCCGTCTAATTTAACGGTTTTGAGTTTTCTTTTCCTTGAGAAAGGCTACTGTTGTTTTTGTAGGGTTTATACTAGATCCCACTTCACAACACCATCTTTTGGTATGTTCTAGTCCTCGTTGGACTATATCACACAGGATATTACTAAACTTGCCACTAGCAAATATGACTATGTCGTCGGCATAACCTTGACAGGATATGCCGAGGTCAGTCAATCTTCATAGAAGTTCGTCTACGATTAGGCAGATGGAGATGGTGTCCTGCCCTATCTGTGTTTCTGCAGTTCTTGTAGATAACAGCTGAGCTATCCATCTGGATGTGATGTTATCTACTCCTCTGTATGCAAGTGCTCTTTTTACAGTTTCGTGTGGCGTGTTATCAAAAGCTTCTTCTATGTCTAGGAAGGCACACACGACCGTTTATTTGTTTATCAGTGCATCCTGGATTACGTCAGTCAACTGTACCAGGGCAGTTTCTGTAGATCTTCCTGCTCGGTACGCGTGTTGGCTGTGGTGGAGTGGCACCCTCTCCAGGACTTCCGTTCTGATATAATTATCAACAGCCTTCTCATACAAAGGATATGAGGCTGATTGGTCGGAAGGATTTAGGATGTGTGATATCCTTTTTCCCTACATTTGGAATAAAGGTGACTCTGGCCCTTCTCCATGCTTCTGGTTACAAAGTATACAAGGTGATCAAATATTGTTGAGCAATACCTCTAGGATGATGGAACAGCTAAAAATAAGTAGTCTAATGTCAAATGAACCCGTATAAAAGGCTTAATGATATTTATTGTCTTTTTAAAAATATCTTTCGGACACAGAGTCTGACAACTGTGTTTTCCTTCTTTGTTACACCAGTTGGAGTTGTTATGGATAATAATTGAGAAGAAAAATTTTAAACTATACGGGTACTAAATGCTATTTACATATTATGTTTCGAATCTTTCAATTCGTTTTCGAGGTGTAAATTAACATTCTTTAGTTGAGGTAAGCTAGAGAGATGTTACTCACTAAATACTTTAGAGGCAATTAGTAGGGTTGCCTCCTTTTTGAAAAGTGAATAAAGGACT